TACCCTTGACTGGGAAGGAGTGAGAGAATGAATAATAAGGTAATCCTTAATATAGGGAGCCAAACTCTAGATATGTTAGACTTTCTTGAGCTAATTTACTAGCGTGAAAGAGTTTTATCAAATACAAGACAACAACAGTTGCCAAATTAGGATCCCTTAAAATCAAGAGGTAGGCCAGTTTATGGAGGCTCTGCTACTACATTCTTTTTTTTTAATCCTAACCCAAGGATATATTTTTATTGATTTTTAGAGGGAGAGAGGGAGAGAGAGAGAGAGAGAGAAACATCAATGTGAGAGAAACATTGATAAGTTGCCTCCCATACTGCCCTGACTGGGGATCAAACCCACAACCCAGGTTATGTGCCTTGACAGGGAATTGAACCCACAACCCTTTGGTGTACCAGACAATGCTCCGACCAACTGAGCCATTGCCCAGGGCTGATACTACATTCTTACTTTGACAGAATTCAGTATGGCTTACTAGTCTTGAGTTTCCCCAAGGATAAGGCATAATCTGTGTTATTACTGGGAACCTGAAATAAGATTATTTGCTTGCAAATGTGAGAATATGGAGTTTTGCTCTTTAAGCTCTAGGACTGATAGCCAAACCCTGACAGGGAAAATCCTTCAACCCAAGAGGCTGAGTCACCTTGGATCATAACAGCCACTTGAATGTTACTATGAGAAAAAGGCAATTAGGATACAGAGACAGGCAGTATCATAAGCTCCTTACATCAGCACAGAGAGAAAGAAACTCAGTCTTTTACAGACGCCGAGTTACACTAAGTAAGCAGATATTATGCTAAAATCTACATATTTATCTTGATGTAGGATTTTAGTTATCCAAGTTTTCATAGAAATTTTTCTTACCCGAATTTTACCTACTCCTGAAATCCCATCATCTTTAAAACAGAACAAAATCCTAGTTTCTTTAAAATTTAGATTTATAAAAAGGCAGAGGTAAGTTGTGTTTTTTTAGTCAACCCATGTAGTATAAATGACAGAGTGAACTCTAATCATATAGATGTTATTATTGACAAATTTCAGCTCATTTTGCTATAATGAGCATAGAAACTTTAGTCCTTAGTAAAGTTTGAAAAAGTAAGAGATAGAGAAATAATACTGTAAGAAGAATTACAGAACAAGATTCCTCAAAGGGAAAAAGGAAAGAGAAGAAGAAATTTAAAGTAAAGGGATACAATTACAAATGGGCTTTCGGACAAGCTGTAAGTACTCCAAGCAAGGAAGGGTGATTGAAGACTTGAATTAAAAACAGATTCAACCAACAAGAAACATATTTTGGAAGGAAGGACAGATGGAACGGCTCGAGGGGAAGAAAGGGAGTGAGCGATGGGGCAGTGAACATGAAAGAGTGACTCAGCTATGCTGTCACAGAAAGGGCATCAGGGGAAGGTGAGGCTGGAAAGTACAAAATGAACAGAGACGGACTTTGCAAGTCAAGCAGGAAATTTCAGAGTTTGATCAGACTTAGTGAAATGGTAGCTAATATCTAATTAACCCTCTCTCCTTCTTAAAATTCTTGAGGTGAGAAGTGGGGAAGTTTGAAGAGAAATGAACAGGGAGAAATTCAAAGAAATTAACAGTTGTCTTCAAGTAAGAAAGCTGAAGTAGGAAAAGATCGCAATGGAGAGACAACTCATCAATCACCTGAATTAGCAGTCTGTTTGCAAAGTACCATGGTTTGGGTGAAGGGACTTAGGCTCAAGCCTTGGCTCCACCTCTCACAATATGATCTCGTGCAAGCTTTTAGCTTCCTTAAGCAGCAGGGTCTTCATCTATAACATGAGGATAATAACACATATTTAATAGAATAGTATTAGGAGTAAAGCCAATAAATTATGCTAAGGTGCTATGTAAATGATACCCTTATTTAAAAAAATAAGAGCAGACATGTAGAGTATTCTTAAGCAGAAGAGAAGCTGAGTCACATGCCCACAGGGAAACAGTGACGGAGCAGGGATTCACCCAAGGCAACGCAGCTAAGGAGTCCATGATTCTAAATACTTGGCTATACTGCCTCACTCCCTGATTTCAGGGAATTGACAGTTGAGTTGAGGGGAAAATAGTGGGGTGCTGAATACTAAGACAAAAACAACGACAAAAATCAGTGTCACCAAGGAACCCATGACCCTGAGTTAGGTGAGTTTTAGAGACAGGAAGATTTAACCTGCAAAGTTCTTAGAAGACCTACTGGATAAGGAAAGAGTTAAGTTATGCTTATGAGGATGACTGGAACTGGCTAATCAAAATGAGGAATAGAGGCTTTTAGGAACAGCAAAATAATGAGGATAAAAATACAGAGCATAAATATTAAGATTACTTAGTCCCTTTATGTTAGAGAGAGCCAAAAATTAAAGTGTAATAGAAATTCAAAATGCTGCTTACATTTCATTTAAAAGGATAAAAACAGCTGCAAATAAAGATTTGATTCCAACATATAGACTATAAGTCTTAAAACAATTTATTATTTACTATTTGCGGGGCAATTTAAAATAAGTGACTATGAGATACACTAACCAGAGACCAAAAATTAATAAAATAAAATGTAAGCCAAAATAAACACAACATTAATCTTTTTAAAGAAAGTATTTAATCTTTAGACAAAGTAGTAATACTATTAGGAAATACTTTATTTTTAAATATTGTTTTCTGATTCTAATGCTTTAAGATTTAATAAAGTTATATTCCGTTTCAGAAATGTTTGTTTTATTGGCCTTGAAAGAAGTTGAAGGAAAATTTAATCTTAAGACTCTTTATAGTATTTTTTAAAAGTGTTATATCACAACATGATCTTACAAAGTATAAAAACTGGCCCTAGCCAGTTTTGCTCAGTGGTTAGAGCGTCAACCCTCTGACTGAAGGGTCACTGGTTCGATTCCCGTTAAGAGCATGCATCTCGGTTGCAGGCTTGATCCCTGGCCCTGGTCCCAGTGAGTGTGGGAGGCAACCAATCTCTCTCTCTCTCTCTCTCTCTCTCTCTCGTCAATCTTTCTCTCTCTGTGTCTCTACCCTCCCTTCCACTCTCTCTAAAAAAAAAGTCAATGGAAAAAACATCCTCAGGTGAGGATTCACAACAATAAAAAACTGTATTGTATCATCTCTTTTTATTTGGGAAATTTTGAAAGCAACAAGGTGAAACTCAGAGAGAAAACACAAATATAAAATATATAAGAGAAGAGGAAGCTGTGCTTAAGTTAAAATTAAGTTTATAAAAGCTTTAAGATGCTTTTAGGGAGCGTAGATCTAGAACAAATTCCTGCTCTCTTCATCTCTCTGCACCCTTCTTGTTTGTTCTTTTGGCTCCTGCCAAAATATCAACTGTGAACACTTTGTATGTTATGCTAGAAGTGTAAGAAATGTTGTTCAGGATGCTCCCTGGGCAACTTTTGTATAAGACCCTACCACATTATTACCAAACCATTTCTTCCATTAAAGCATTTCTTATGAAAATGCAAACAGAATCAGGCAAGAATAATACATTCTACTATTAAAACATGATTAATATTTATTATCAGCTTAGCTATCTATTTTCCTAGTAGGATTTATTTCCCTAGAAGATTTATTTGTAGGAATGGGAAGTTAGGGAAGACCCTGGTATGACTTCTGTATTATTTAGGATTCTTTAGTAACAAGTAACAGAAACCAAACCTGGCTAATTTAAGTCAAAAGAAAACACAATGATATGAGTAGATCATAGGTCCTATGGGAAAACTGAAAAACAAGGTTGGAAAAAGTGGAAACAGACAACTCCAGGAGGTCTTCCCAATCCTACATGGCCATGACTGCTGAAATGTGAATGACAGTTTCTTCTCTCTTTGCATTGCTTCACTCAAGAGGCAGTGTCCCAGGAAAGCAACTGCTTAGTCATATGTAAGTCTCTTACCTCACTCTTGACAATACTAGGGAAGGTCAGAGAAAGCGTTTGGAAACAAGAGCCAAATCGCTTCTTTGGTTCCTTTTGCAGGAGTGAACCAAGCACTTGGATTTCCATCATGTCAATACTGCACACAACAAGGGAGAGTTAATTTGAAAAGAGCAAATCAGAGTGCCATTGGAAAAGGGGAATAGAGTATTGGCAGCCAAAAAACAAAAATCAAATATCAAATATGGCTACAACAGAAAGTCTTTATGGGTGGTTCTCAGGTGAAGCATCCCTGTATGCCCAAAAGCAGTGCCCCAGAAAGAAAGGACAGCTGCAAATGCATTTTCATTCAACACATAGAGAGACACAAGCTGTTACAACAATTCAGTTACAGCAACGGAAAATGACTGAACATAGAATATACAAACCAGAAACCAAACCCAATAAAAATGGTATGGCCAATAAAGATAACAGCATTAAAAAGAAATGTAATGGATAGACCAAAAATATACTACTGGATACCCTGTGTCTCCTAAGCATTACCATGCTTCTCCCCCACACAGATCTGAAGGACACTGACCACCTTTAGTGTTTCCGAGGTGATCCAATGGCCTATGGGAAACTCCCCAACTGATTGTAAGATGATCACTTTCAACTTCTCTATTGAGTTCATGTTTTCTTTGAAATCAAGTTTAAGCACAATTCACTTATTTTATACTTAACGTTAAGAAATCCTCATCTGTGAGTACCTATGCTAAGTAAGTTGTGTGAATTCTCCATTGGCTTCTCAACACATGAAGATCAGAACCCCTGGCCCGTAAGACCCTACAAGATCTGGCTCACACCTTTCTGATTCTTATCGCACACCGTGTAACCCACTGCCCCAGGAACATCAGCCTTCCTTTTTCCCCCCTTGAATATGCCAAGTTCATTTCCTGCTCATTGCCTTGGACTTTGTGCTCCCTTTGAAGGCTTTCCCAGGACTCTTTAAATGGCTAGCTTATCCAACTCTTCACTCCTTGGTTTCAGTGTCACCTCCTCAGAGCTCTTCCCTGAATTCCCTCTCTATAGTCACTCTCTACTGCATCATTCAATTTATTTCTTCTGTAACACTTACCGCTCTTAAAATTTACATTTTCTGCTTGTTCGTTGTTTGCCACCTCCCACAAGAAGAGTCGTTTTCTGTCTTGTTCATTGCAGTTTCCAGCTCTTAGAAAAGTTCCTGAAACACAGTAGGCCCTCAATAAATATTTCTTAAATTAATGAACTAATCTGTGCAAAGCATTACTTTTTTATATCTGTTTCTTTATCTGTAAAGTGGAGGCAACATTGCTGTGGGGATTAAACAAGAAAAGAGCTCTCTGATGTAGAACTATTACAAATGTATAATTATTTGCCCATTAAATATTAGAAATAGAACTGATAAGTACCTAAGCAGTTACCTATCAGGCTGTGAGCTCCTCGAGAGCAGGGATTATATTAATTCTTGTTATCACCTGTTATTCTATGCTTAGGACAGTGTCTGCTATGTAAATATTTTTTGAGTGGATGGATGAATCGATGAATGAGCAAAGCATCTCTCTACCTCCAGAAAGACTTCCATCTGGAAGGACTAAATGTAGCTGTAGTCCTTCATGAGGGACTGCACCAATATTATTGTGTTCTACTTTTCATTTACTTGCTCATAAGAATTCTTGAGCACCTACTATGGCCCAACAATGCAGAGGATACAATGATAACTACAAGTACACCAACCAATTAAACAAGTAATGTACCTGCCCTCATAAATCCCAGAGAGACAATCAAATAATCACAAAAATAAATTTATAAAGTTTCAGCTGATATAAATGCTAGGGAATGGGTTTGAATTACTTTGGAAATTATTATGTGTAACTATTTAAACCAGATGTTATAAAGCTTCTCAGACAGAACATATATTTTGGTTATTAAAGAAAATAACTTTCTGAAGAGAGAGCTGGTTCCAGGACTATACTAAATAAATTCATATTTTTGGCTCATCCACATAGGTTTACTAAATTAAATTAACTACAGAACGATTCACATGTTCAAATATTTGTTTCCCAGGGAAACGTCCTTGTGTCTTCATCCTAAAGTTGCCTTTAAAGTCACCTATATTTGAAATGTCTCTTCATGCTTTCAAAATGAATATTTCCTCTTTTTAATGTGTTTTGGCTTGAAGTCCTCCTAATCTGGTATTAAGATCATAACTCCTGCTTTCAGTTTGCCTTTGTTCACAACTTTATATTCAACTATTGATATATTTGTTTAACTGGGCCTGTTGCATACAGCATAAAAGTACAAAGTGTGACTTCTTTCTAAAAACAAAAGAACATTTCTGGAATTAAGCCAATTTAAATATATTGATAGGACATATATTTGTTCTCATTTGTATCAAATTTTTTACATTGACAGTTTGGGTCAAAAGCCAGGATGAACTTAGACATACAAAGATTACTAAAGGTAATGCCTGTGAAAGACAAAGGCGAGACAGAGCAGGAGTAGGCCAGAAGAGCCTTCAGACCATGGTACTGGTCTGAAACTTGAGAAAGGAGGGGTTGAAAGCCTCAGACTAGTGCAGCTCTGAAAAACAGAGTCTGAAAGCCAGACCTCTAGGACAAAAATTGCCTTGGGGAGTCTCCTGCGGCAGACCTGGCCAGGCTGTCACACCCATGTCATGCTAAGTCACTGAATGGAGTGGCAAGCAGATCATGTCAGCTCCAATGCTGGGGCACATTCTGAAGGGGCTACAGCTCAGGCTATATGCTAACTGCAGGCCTCCCAGCAGTCACTCTTGAAGAAATATGAGTAAAAGAGCTACATGGCTACCAAACACATCTTATAATATTTTATTCAAGTACAATCTACACACAGTGAAATGTACAGATTTTAAGTGTACACAATCTAACAAGTTTTGACAAACTTATAAATCCATTTACTCCATCCCCAAAAAGATAGAAAATATTCCCTTCACAGAAAAAAGTTCCCTTGGACCTCTTGTCCCTCGTTGCCACCCCCACCATGCTCCCCACTGCACACATTCACTGAGGCAACCACTGTTCTGATTTTTATTACCATATTTTATTTTGCCTGCTTTGAACTTCATATAAATGGAATCACAGCACATGTTCTCTTTTATTTCTGGCTTCTCATGCAATATAATGTTTTTGATATGCATACATATTGTCACATGTATCTTAAAATTTTTATTTCATTGTATGAATATACAGCATTTCTTTATCAAATTTCCTTTTATAGAAATATAGGTTGTTTCCAATTATTGGTTATTATATATAAAGTTACTGTGAACATTTTTGGACATATTTTTATGAACATTTTCATTAATCCTTGACAAATATTTAGGAATGGGATTGCTCAGTCATATAGTAGGGAATGTTTACATTTATGAGAAACTGTCAGTTCTCCAAATCATTTGTACCACTTTTCACACAAACATCTGGCTGTTTTGACTGGCAAATACTTGAATTTACATACCACTTGGGGTGAACAGACATCTTAAAAATATTGAGTCTTCCAATGACTGTCATATTGCTCTCCATTTTCTCAGGGTGTTTCTTTTGTCAGGGCAATGTTTTGTTCTTAGCGGTGTAGAGGACAAGTAAGCCTTTGTTAAATATATTCCTAAATACTTCATGTTTTTAGACTGTTGTAAATAGTATTGCTTTAAAATTTGTGTTGTTCAATTATTCATTGCTATTATATAGAAACAAAGTAGGTTTTTATACATTGACTTTGTAATCTGTGAACTGGCTAAAATCATTTATTAGTTCTATGTGTTCTCTTTGTAGACTCCTTTGTATTTTCTATGTGCACCATCATATCGTCTTCCAAAGAAAAAAATTTAATTTTTTCCTTTCCAACTTTACTTCTGCACTTTTCCTTGCTTTATTGCACTAGGCCCTCTTGCATAATAGAAGTGATAAGACGTCATTGTCTTTCTTTTTTTTTGATCTGAGGACAAAATATTTCACCATTAAGTTTTCTTTTCATTATGAATGATATTTTCTTGCTTCATTTAATGTCTTATTTTTTTAAACTTTATTTCCAACACTAAGTATAAAGGGCCAGTGTTGTTCTATTTATTTCTCAAACAGTCCAAGCGCCTTCCTTATTTGACTGTAGAAAGGAAAGGCTGTTAGCTCTGATTCTCTTGAGGGTTTGATTTGCATTTAGGCCAGCCCACGGCTTTAGTTAGGCTGAGTTCATCACACTCTCTGCTTAGCTATGAAGAATTCATCTCACCCTAGAACCCAGTTTATGAAGCCTTCCTTGAATCCAAGACTCTTTTAGAATTCCATAGAAAGTACCATTTTTATTTTGTCCTAGATTTTCTTGTTACCACAAACATGGTCTTTTGTGTAATTTTACATCCTAACCATTAACATTTTATTATTTTCCCTGTGTATTTAACTCTTCAAATATTTGAGTGAATTCAATTATTATCCTTATTTTTTTTGTCCCTTATTGTATTTTTCTCATTGTTATTTTGTGTGCTTGTTTCAGTCTCATCTTCATCTCTCTGATAGTTTTGCTATTGTCTTCTGCATCCTCTTGAAATCTACTACCACAGGTTTCCTCTTCTTCTGTCACCTTATATTTCCTATGTTCTTTTCTTTCTTTTTCTATTGCTAATTTTTTTTTTTTTAATATATCTTTATTGACTTCAGAGAGAGGAAAGGAAAGGGAGAGAGAGAGAAACACCAATGATGAGAGAGTCATTGATCGGCTGCCTCCTGCACACCCCTGACTGGGGATCAAGCCCGCAACCTGGGCATGTGCCCTGACCGGGAACTGAACCTTGATCTCCCGGATCACAGGTCGTTGCTTAACCGCTGAGCCACGCATGGCCGGGCTCTATTGCTATTTTGTAGCCTTCCTTCATAGAATTGATTGCTTTACCAAAAATAAAATATAAAAAAGTGCACATCACAAGCTTTACCTTCTTTATGGCACCTTTACATAGTGTGTTGACAAATTCTGCTGCTCTCTCATGTTTACCTTACAGTCTGTTTCAAGGCTGCACTAGTTTCTTTTATTACTCACTATTGTATGAGTTGAATTTTCCTGGACCGGCTATTTGCAAAGGTCCTGGTGAGGAGAGACCAGAATAATCTTTCATGATTTATAACTCAAAGATTCTCTCTTCTGCTTCCCACAAATAAAACACAACATTGTTGGTGATGTTTTGCTTAGCCCCAAACCACATTCAGCAAGTTTCTGCCACCAGCCTTGCTTACTCAATTTCTCAGACCCCTCCAAACAAGAAATATAACTTTTTCTCTTTATGGTAGGTGCTTTATCTTCAGAAAAAGCATTTTTTCCTGCTTTTGAGATCTGCTGTTGCTAAACTCTCTTCCCATCTTTTTCCCACTTCCTACCATGCAAATTTCCCAGGTCTTAGCTGGTCTTGGTAGCTCTCACATGTAACTTTGCTTATTATATTGTTTGCAGGTTTTAAAAAAAATTGTTTTCCTTATTGCTTTTGTATGATTTCCAGAGGGAAAAGCCCACTTGCACTGCCACATTCCTATCAAAAGTCACCTGAAGGTGTTTGGCAGAGACCTAAGTTTTAACTCATGTCTTAATAGACTTGTTTAGTTTATTCTCTTGGATGACATTAAACCAATTATAAAAACAATAACCAAGAACTTAAAATGCTGAGCTCTCCAATTTGTCTTACTAAACACATGTGAAATATCTCCCAATAGTTCCTACTAGAAATTCTATTCCACTACAATTACTAGATAAATTCAGCTGATTATCAAAATACTTTACTTGATTAGTCATCTAGAAAGTGACTGCATGATAAAATAAGCATTCAAACACTGCAGAAATAGGCAGAGAAAATTATAGCATAGCTCCCAGCTTTTCTTAGAGCCTTAAGACATGAAGAATACCTAGTAGAGCTAGATGAACTAGGAGGGGGTTATAAGTACAGGGATATATTTCACTGTGAAATTAGAGTAGGCATTGAAGTTGAGGGCTGGCTCCCAGTGAGTTTTCTTTTGGGAACACTAAGTAACCATCAGTACAAAGGTCACAGAAGTATCTTATGAAGCCAACCATTTATGACTTTTTGAGGCTATGGAATTGATCAAGTCAGTTGTCAAATGCAGAATGAGAGCACGGGGGCATGCACCAAAAAGAAAGAGAAAGTAAAGGAGAAACACACAAGGAAATAAA